GATTTTTCTCTTCTTTTGATTGAAAATTACAATACTTTTGCCATGTTTGATACTTTGTCGCCTATTGTAAATTGAATATACATCGATGAAGGCAAGGCAAAGAGAAATCTGTGACGGTTCATCTTATTCAGAATCATATCCCAAAAGCTTAGTAACGGAAGCCAAAAAGTTGATTGTGGAGTTTTAATTTTCTGAAGACTCTCATTCAAACAGTTTTGTTGAAGTCTCTTGACCCAGAGATGTCCATGACGGCGCTGCCGCTGCCGCTACAGCCGTGGCGGTGGCGGCGCGGCAGCGGCAGGTTTCTTAAAAGCTCATCGCGGCAGCGGCAGAGGTTTTAAAAGCTCATCGCGGCAGCGGCAGCATTTTTTTTCGAGGACATTGAAAAACTGCATGAATTTAATAGAATTTCATTGTTTACAAATGAAACACCCCGAGACTGAATGAATCTGATGGACTAGTACCAATATTTCTGGTCCAATACAGTTGCAGCAGTGAAAATCGAAACACTTTTGAAAACCATCGCGGCAGCGGCAAGTTTATTACTCATCGCGGCAGCGGCAGAGTTTCAGCCGCGATGGACATCTCTGTCTTGACCTATCAATATTAATAGTAAACACTTTCAGCTAAACAAATATTATTTCAAATTCTTATTATCTATCAATATCAAGACATAAACTTTCATCGGTCACCATACATATGTCATTCGATAGAATTTTGCAGGCTGATTTGAATTAGCTTGATTGCAACTGTATTAGTCGAAGATTTCATTAGAAAAAAAGTCGAAATACTTCAAGAGTTACTTTTTTTTTCGAATAACAGTTATTTTGTCTTTTTTTTTGAATATGTATCTACTGTTTCTTTTTCTTCTTAAGAAATATAATCCTATTTCATAGACATTTGATTTTGTTTTTTTTTGATTTGAAACTGGACAAATCAAATTACAATAACGTTCTTATATATGTTGTTCACAACTGCATTTAAAATTGAGTGAATTTCTACAAATATCATAGACTTTTTGCGACGTTTTTTTCTTTTCATTGAAAAATTCAACACTAGCTAGATGAAAGCATCTTTCGAAACTTAACTGATAATACATATTCACAATATCTGTTTATCAAAATCTTATACTAATAGTTTGTATAACGATAGTATTGTACATTGAAATACATGCTAATTGAAACTCTACTTTTCTAAAATTGAAAACACATCGTCTAAGAAAAAATATTTCGAAAAAAACATTCGTTTTCAAACTTGGGTCTTAGAGGTGGGGGGGGGGGGGGCGAGGTGGTAGTAGAACAGTTTTACGGATCTTAAATAGATTTTCTTTTTGTTTATTTTTTATTTTAGATCATTTTAATAATCAAATTCAATATAAATGATTTCTATATTTTTGTTTTTGTAATTTTTTTTCAATAAAGATCCATATAATAAAAAATTTTCTTTAAGAAAACAAGCAGCGATACCACCTCATGAAGTCGAAAAAGCGGAAACTTATTTCGTTGCGAATTTTTAGCATTTATAAGTATTTTGAACGTTTTTCATATCTATAGCATTCTGTTTTTATTTTAATAAAATTGCAAAAATTTAAAATATTGTTGAAATGAATAAGAATGACTATGTTTCACTACATGATATACAAAAGTATTTTTCGCAGCTACTGTTTCTTCAACCTTCTTATTAGATTTCATAGGTGATATTATCAATTGTCGATTTATACGAAATGATTTTTTTGTTGTTGTTATGTCTTTTCAATTTTATGTCACAATCAACAGCATTTTTTGCCATCATCATGTACAGGGTTGGAAAAAATATTTTGATAGGGAGTACCGCTATATTCTGAAATACAGTTAATAATTCCCTCGACTGTAGGGAAGGTCATATGAAAAAAAAATAGTTTGTGTGCGTGTCTGCATCGGGGACAAAAAAACTTCCACTTTAGAAAATTTTCCACAAAGGTTGACGAAAACAAATCAAGCTCGGAGAATCCGAATCTGAGGTCAGTTTCTCGAAATTTTGAATTGAATTTTTTTGGGTTCAGGAGAAAAGGTTTTTTTTGAGAAAATAAATTTTTTGTCGAGTGTAGGAACGGTTATATGAAATAAAATAAGTTTTTGTCATAGTGAAAGGTGAAACATCATAAAAAACGTTGGCTAAGTATTCGATTCTTGTGCTTTTAATATTGAATTTTCAACCAATTCAATTTTTCAGAATGAAAATTCAGTCAATCCGACATATGTGATAAGTTCTCCCTTAATCAGCTGTTTTCATAACTGGGTGTCCATGAATGAGACTTGTATACTTCTATCTGCTACAGTCGAGGATCAAGTGAGTCGAACCGACGAACGTTACTTGTGAATTTTATACCAAATGAAAGCCCGTCAAAAATGGGGTTTATTGGTACTAAATAGTAAGAGTTATCAAAACCTTTTAATGTCGAACTTAAGAAATTTTCAGAAATTTTATGCTTTTTTGGCATAGAAAAATTGAGGTGCCAATAATTCAAAAACAGATTAAAATATTTTTTACATAATTCGATAGAGCTCGTCGAGCTCTACAAAACTGTATACATTAAAAAAATTCTTAAGCCATTTTTCTAAGATAAAAGTTTAAAAAAACTACGTGGAAAATGCTAAAAAACTCATTTTTTTTGTATGGAAGAAAAATACCTGATTTTTCAATAGAATTAGCTTTTTTCATTATTTTTACTGTCATGGACGCTTCAAGATATGCTTATCAGATGCAGCGTAAAATACTGCGTCTAACGAGTATATTTCGAAGCATCCATGGCAGTAAAAATAATGAAAAAAGCTAATTCTATTGAAAAATCAAGTGTTTTTCTTCCATACAAAAAAAATGAGTTTTTTTAGCATTTTCCACGTAGTTTTTTTAAACTTTTATCTCAGAAAAATGGCTTAAGAATTTTTTAATGTATACAATTTTGTAGAGCTCGACGAGCTCTATCGAATTATGTAAAAAATATTTTAATCTGTTTTTGAATTATTGGCACCTCAATTTTTCTATGCCAAAAAAGCATAAAATTTCTGAAAATTTCTTAAGTTCGACATTAAAAGGTTTTGATAACTCTTACTATTTAGTACCAATAAACCCCATTTTTGACGAGCTTTCATTTGGTATAAAATTCATTATTAACTCTATTTCAGAATATAGCGGTACCCACATATCAAAATATTTTTTCCAGACCTGTACTGAAAAATGTTTGCTAGAGGCCATACAAAGAACTTTAGCTGAATCTGGTTTAAACTCTCGTAAAAAATGATGTGAACTGAAGATTAAGTAGTCATTGTGAATTAAACATTCTTTTTTTTGTCTTTTAATAAGCATCTAATATGGCTTCAACATTTTTATTCTCATTTGATTTGAGAATTGGTGATACTTTTATTAAAATGTTCACGATCTGTTTCATTTTAATTTGTAATCTCATTATCTGTAGATCCTTAAAAAAAACGTTTAAATTTTCGGATGTTTTTTTTTGTGTAAATACAGTAGGCAAAATAAGTTGAAAAGGAGCTAAGCATCAGTTGAGAGCAGAGTGATATTTTTTAATTTCCGAATAGACGATTAGTTTGCAAGCCCTCTAACATAGAAAAACTTTGTGTTCGTCTATTGATTTTATGGATGACATAAAATAAGAGTGATGATTAATTGGATGTGTAAACAGTAAGACTTTATTCAACAATAACAAGTTTTACTCTGTACGTATTTTGGAAATATATCATCACGTTTTTATATCAAAAAGCGGAACAGCGAAAAAAAAAGGTGAAAAAGCGGAAGAGGTGGCAACCCTAAAAACAAGAGATGATGAAAGTCAAAAAGTAGAAAATAATTAATTATGCAAAATATGCTTAGAAAATCATATACAAGTCATATCAGATTTGACAGAAAGATTATACAGTATGATTTTATCAAAAATGATGGTTTTAGAATTAGTATACAAAATTGTATAAGATCATAATCCATTTTCATATGATCATCATACTTGACTTGAATAGTTTTTGTTCGGTTTTAAAGATAAAATTCATTTCTTTAATAAATTAATTATTCGATAAACTATAAAAAGAAAGCTCATAAATAAGTTTTACGATGTTACAAAACTTTCCTCACTTGGAATGTAGAGTATAATGTTTTGTGTTACATTTTGAAGGAAAAAAAAGGGAATTATCGAAATTTAATCTATTCAATTTCAGCTCAAAATATTTAAATTACAAGAAAAGATTTTCGAGAAAATGAGAATATAGAATTATCAT